TTGAATGAGGTGTAGAGCTTGAATGGGATGCAGAGCTTGTACGGGATGCAGAGCTTGTACGGGATGCAGAGCTTGTACGGGGTGTAGAGCTTTCATGGGATGCAGAGCTTGTATGGGGTGCGGAGCTTGTATGAGGTGCAGAGCTTGTATGGGGTGCAGCGCTTGTGTGGGGTGCAGAGCTTGTATGAGGTGCAGAGCTTGTATGAGGTGCAGAGCCTGTATGAAGTGCAGAGCTTGTATGAGGTGCAGAGCTTGTATGGGGTGCAGAGCTTGTATGGGGTGCAGAGCTTGTATGGGGTGCAGAGCTTTCATGGGATGCAGAGCTTGTATGGGATGCAGAGCTTGCATGGGATGCAGAGCTTGCATGGGATGCAGAGCTTGCATGGGATGCGGAGCTTGTATTGGGTGCAGAGCTTGTGTGGGATGCAGAGCTTGTACGAGGTGCAGAGCTTGTATGGGGTGTAGAGCTTTCATGGGATGCAGAGCTTGTATGGGTTGCAGAGCTTGCATGAGGTGCAGAGCTTGCATGGGGTGCAGAGCTTGCATGGAGTCATGGCTTTTGCAGGGTGCACAAGGTCTGCATGGCGCATCGCTTGCCCATCTTGCACAGCCTATAAAGGCCGCGCAGGGTGCAGCACCCACACCGGCCCCCATGGTGCTCGCAGTGCCCCTGCAGCCCCGCTGCCCAGCTCACCCGTCACCTCCAGGGGCAGCAGGTCCTGCTCGTCCTCGATGCCAGCCACCACCTCGCAGCGGTAGAGCCCGGCGTCGCTGGCGCGGGCGGCGCGCAGCACCAGGGTTGCGTTGTGGCGGTCCCGGGGGTAGCCGGGCAGGGACACGCGGCCCTCGTAGGCTTTCACCACCTTCACCGCGTTGTCCTTGGCCACCAGGATGGGGACGTCCTCCCTCTGGCCGGTGGCCGAGCGCACCTTGCTCCATTTGACACGGGGAGGGTCGGGGGGCTCGTTGGGGCCCAGCGAGGCCGAGGGATGGAGCAAGAAGAGGCAGGGCAGGGCCACGGGCTCCCCCAGCCCCACGCGCACAGCCTCATGCTGCACCCTGTTGATGTGGATCACCTTCCCATCGTCCTGCGAGCCTGCGGGGAGAGGTGCCCAGGTACCACGGGGATGGGCGGCGGGTTCGTGTTCAGAGAACTGGGGGCACCGCAGGGTGCTGGGGGCTCTGTTCTGGGCACTTCTGAGGTCCCCAGGGAAGAGCAGGAAGCAGGACAATGCGCAGCCCCCATGTTGAGTGCCCACAGACCGACTTTGTCCCTTAAATCTGCCCCTCTGGGGCTGAACCCATAACTGAGCCCAGCCCCTCACACCCCAGCCCGGATGCTGTCAGGCTGTAGCCGCTGCTCTGCACCCATGGGTCCCATGCTGCTCCCATAGGGATACCAGCACTCCCCATCCCTGCCCGCAGAGGTGAACCCCTCACCAACAACTCAGCACCATTCAAGCCCTGTGGCCCCGGCGGCAAAGCCAGTCCCATGCTGGGATAAGATGTGGCAGCGCCACATTCTCCTCCTCCTCCCGCACTAATCCTGCTCCAGCCTGTGCAGGCTCCCAGCTCCATCACCACAAATCCCAGCACATGGAAATCCCCATGGCCCAGCTCTCCCTGCCCACGCTGGGGTGGGGGGACCAGGGCCTGCCACTAATCCCTGCCTGACACCTTCCTCCCTTGCTCCCCCTTTGCCATTGCAAAGGGAGGGTGCCAGGGTGGGGGGATCCCAAAGCCCTCAGTGCAGCAGGATGGGGGGATGTGGGCTCATGGAGATGGCAAATCCCTGGGGGTCTCAGCTCCACAGCTGGATGCCAGCAGCAGGATTAAGGATTTAAGGTCTCACGTGCCAGGATCCCAGCATGGGGGGTCCATGGTCGCCGGGGGGGGGGGCTTCTCCCTACCTAATCGCCTTCAGTCCAGGGTAGGGAGGTGGGGGGGGGCACAGGCTGAGCACTCCTTGGTTATCATTCACCCTTGCTCTTTATTGTGGCTGATAGTGCATTACTTGCTGCAGTTTCCCATAGTGGCTCATGAGCCCTGGTGGCACTTACCCAGGACGATGATGGCGAGGAGGGAGAGCCCGAGCAGGAGCCAGCAGCCAGCATCCCCCATCACATGGACCATCCTTGACCTGCAACAAGAGCAGAGGGCTGGGAGGCCACCGCTCACCTGCTCCCTGCCTGTTCGGTGATGCCATGGGGCCATAAATCACTGCAGGGCCAGGCTGACACCAGCCTCCAGGAGGCACGGGATGGGGAGCAGGATTAGCCCCACTTCACAAGATGCCATTAGCCCAGAGAGAGTTTGATTTCCCTGTGGGGTCGGGATGGAGGATGGCTGCCACCACCAACCACCGAGACTCCAACTGCGCTGCCGGGCTGTCCCTGTGTTCCCTGCCACCGGTGCCACCCATGGTGACATCCCCCCAGTGCACTGCTGGAGATGGGACACGTACCCCATGGTGGGGGCAGCGGGCAAGTGGGGGGGGGTCCGCACCCCCCCAGCAGCACTGGAGCTGGCTCTTGCTCTGCCCCCAGCATTAACATGCAGCGGATGGCTCCGGCTGCTGGAGCTGGCTTGCAGAGCGGGGAGCACAAAGCCGGCACCAGCACTTGCTGAACGTCTCCCACCCATTGACTGCAGCAACGATCCGTGTTCCAAAATCATCCAATCTTCGGGCTCACAGGGGGCTCAGACACATCCCCAGCCTGGCCATGGAGGTGGCATGGACACAACCACCGCCCGGCTCCCACCGCATCCATCACCGGCTCCCACCGCATCCACCACCCACCTCGGGCTTTGTCTGGGATTTAAACCAGGCTCCGTCACTCCATGCTGCCAAACCAGCCAAGCAGGGATGTACCCAGCACCCCAAAACCCCAACTGGGGCCATGCTGGAGCTCAGATCCACATGGCCATGAACTTGAACCAGAGCCAGTGTCCCCTATGCACTGGCAGATCCACCATGGGGTTTGCTGGTCCCCACTCCAGCATCTGGGTCCCCCCGATCTAACATCAGTTCCTTGTCCCCTGGCCAGGACAGGGAGCTGGGGAGCACTTGGCTTTTGGGGGGCACACCAGGAGCCCCTCATCCCTCTTCCAGCTGCCCAGAGCCGAGGCTTCAGCTCAGCCCACAAGTTCCCCCATCCCTGATGCTCCATTTTCCAGCCCTTGATGTCTCATTCTGTCCCTTCTGCTTTCATGGGACAAAAATAGATAGAAAGAGCCAAATGGCAAGAAAAAAGAGCCCCCTCCTTACCCCACCCCCAGTGTTCAGCACTGGAAAAGGGACTTCGGGGGGATGCAGAAGTGGGTTTTATCTTTTCTAAAGAAGAAAGCATTTGCAGCCCCTTCCCTCCCGCAGCAGCTCTGTGGGGCTTTCTGCCTCCAAACCCCGCTGCTGATAGAAGCTGAGGAGGTGACCTGACCCCGGCTCCAGCCATGGGGGTTGATTCCTGGGGTGTGGAGCAGAGCACAGGCTGTGGGGTCACTGCACCTTTGCCCAGCCACATCCCCTGGGAGCCAAACAACCCCCGGGCTGCTCTACAGCCCCCACAGCTCCTTCCTCGCTCAGGGATGCTCCGGGAAGAAATCCCCCAGCACCAAACTTTTTCTGTCTTTCCACTGAGAGGGGGAGCACAAATCGCTCGGTACCACGGGGAGGTTCCAGCTCCTCCCGCTGCCAGGCTCAGTTTGACTTTCTGGGCTGTCAGGAGTTGTCCCAGCGCTGGGGTCTGCAATGGGGCAGCCCCCGGCCCATGTCCTTCATCAAACCACCACCCCGGGACCTGCTGGGTGAGGGTGCGGCGGCGGGTGCGGGATGGGACATCCCAGGCCTCTGAACCACCCACCCTCCCATTCTGCCCTTTTCACTCATTTCCTCTTTTGCATCCCCCAGCTCTCCCCCCCTGCAGCTTCCAGGTGACTTTTCCTGACTGAGAGAATTTCCCACGTGGAGCAGCAGCCGGGTCTTGCTCCCCAGCACCTCTCCTCAGCATCCCTGAGACCTTCCCCTTCTCCATCCTCCTCCTCGCCCGCCTGTGGCCACCCCAGCTCCCAGCAGAGCTCCATCCCCACCACAACCGCAGGGGCCCAGCACCATGATGGGGAAGGTCGTGGGCCAGGGGAGGACCTGGAAGACCTCAAAGAGCCACGTTAAGGTGCCAGTGTATAAATACTCCTGGAAGCTGCGGGCTGTTTACCCAGCGCCGCTGCTCTGGAGCTGAGCAAATGCCGGCAGCGGCGCTGGGTAAACAGCCCGGGCTTTATTTAAATGTTAAACAGGAAAGTTGCTCTTTGGATTTGCAGCCACTGCCGGGGCAGCTGCAGGGCCGGGCACACACTGGGCCAGGCATGGAGGGATGCAGGGATGGATGGAGGGACCGTGACCCCGCTGAGGCACCCCGGGGCGGCAGCACCCAGGGAGCGGGTGGCTGCGTGGCTCTGGCTGCACCTTCCCTGACATCAGCACTTCCTCACGTTCTGCTTTCACAGCAGGAAGGTGCCGCGGTGAGAAGACCCTCACCAGCAGCTCCCGCTGCCTCCTTGGGGTGCCCTCGGCGGGGTCCCGGGCTCCCCCGACCCCAGGACACACTGCACCAGCCAGCTGGCACCTCAGAGCGCACAAGGACCACGTTCCTTATGGACCATGGCTCTGTTCCAAGCCAAAGAGACCAAGAAGGTCCCTGCCCTGCCACGCTCTGCTCCCCCCAGCCCCTCACTGGACCTCTGGCTGCTGCCTCTGCCAAGCCCAGCCCTGTGCTGAGCCAGCAAAAACTTTATCCCAAGGTCAGGGTGAGCATCCTGCATCCCTGCTGGAGCCGCAGCCGGAGCCAGCACACACGATGTCCCCCGTGTGAGGACCCCCACGCCATGGCAGAGGCTGATGCAGGCAGCATCCTCCCAGCCTCAGCACCTCCTGCTTTATTGAGATCATCTCCTTCCCACCTCCTCTGGACCCAGTAACCCACAAACCACCTCCAGCAGCGCCCATGAGGCAGCCCGGGGCTGGCACAGCCAAGTCCCAGTCCCATGGAACCAACAGGATGAGTCCTGGTCAGATCCCAGCTCCCCCGCACGCAGAGAATGCCACTGCCAGCGTGGCTCAGCACCACCAGCATCCTGGACGTGCCAATGTGGGGGCAGCATCAGCCGGATCCCTGTGGGACAGGATCCATCCCAGGATCCCCATGGAAGGGACCATCGGCTCAGCCATGCCAGGCATCACCGCGCCGTCCCCAGCGGTGACAGCGGGGCAGAAAGGGGGGCACAAGGAGCCAGCATTGGCCATGCCACCATGAACCCAAGGGGCTGAACTGCTTGCACAGGGCCTCTCCCTGCAGCCAGGGCAATGCCATGGGCTCAGAGCCATGTCCCTGGTGCCACGTGGCTGGAACCCTTTGGGGACACGGTGCAGGTCTCTGTCCCCATCCCTGTCCCTGCCCCAGCCAGGGAATGGCAGACGAGAGAAAGCTAAAATAACGGCGGTGCAAAGCCGCCCCCCATCAACCCGGGCGAGCATTTTCACATCTGTCACTAGCTGTCACCTCATGAATAATTCATCTGCCTCATGAATATGCAAAGCCGGGGCTGGCGATCAGCTTCAGCTGAAACCCGGCTTAATTCCTCGCAGGCCATCGGGCGCCGGGACCACCCGGCCGGTCTGGGGGTCTCCTCTCACCCTCACCTGCCCCAAGCCATGGGCTGGGATGGGTGAGGCTGCAGCCCCCAGTGTCCCCATGGAGCAGAGGAGACATTTGGGATACTGCAGGGGGACAAGGGGTTGGGATGGGTGGAAGGGGGTGGGAGGGCACTGCTCATCTGCCAAGGCAACCTGGATGCAGCAGGACACGGGTGTCCCCCCACCCTGGGGATACTCTGGCACTATAGGGGCCCCCCATCCAGGACACCGACCCAGTGACCTCTGCTGTCCCCACGGGTCACTCACACACAGCATTCCCGTGCCCACCCCCCTAGCACGTCCCCCCTCACCATGGGCACCCCACGGGGCTGATCCAGCACCACCCCACACCCAGCCCCAGCGGCCCCAGCAGCCCCCCCGCAGCACCCACCTCCCTCCCAGCGCCACGGTGCCTCCACCACCCCAGCGGGGACGGGGTGTCCGCCGCCAAGGGCCCCCCCGGGGGCTGCGTGGCCCTGGCAGGAGCCCGGCAGCGGGGCCGGCTCCGCGTCCCCTCCTCTCTGCCCACAACAAAGGAATTCTGCAAACCTCGCTGCCGTCACATCTCACAGGCAACGTGATGCTTCCCGCTCCCCCCCAGCCTGCGAGAATAAATTAGCACCTCGGAAAACTGTGATCCCGGCCAATATGGGCCCTGCGCTGGGTGCGATTTTTATTAGGCAGACAGTCTGCAGCCTTCAGGTTAGAATTTGCTCTTCTTATCCCCCCCCCCGCCCCGCCTTTCTATCTCCTCCCGTGAAGCCAAAAGCACGGCGGGAGCCCAAGCGCCGGAGCAGCAGCGTGGCAAGCCCCCAGGCCCAGCCCCGCGGCCCTGAAAGGGTTTGCCTGCGCCTGGAACCAACAGCGGGGAGGAGAGCACCGGGGCTGGTGGGCCTGGCACAGAGAGAGATGGGCCTCCAGCACCGGCCTCCTCACCGGCGCCTCACCGGGTTTACTGAGCCCCCCACATCGGTGTGCGGGATCAAGGAGCCGCAAACGCCTCACCAGCACCCACAGCCGGCCATCCCGGAGCCCTCCAGCCTGCCTCACGGTGTCCCCATGCCAGGGCATGCAGGATGGGACTCATTCTGCCCGTGGTGGTGCTGAGCCCTCACTGCGCTGCCAGCCTTGTCACCTCCCCGGCAGCCAGGGGTACCCCAGGGATGTGAAACTTCCCATCTCCTTCCCTGTCAGGGAATCACCGGCAGCGCCAGTGGGGAACCGGGACGAGGTGCACTTTCGACCCAGTGCCAGTGTCCCCCAGTGCCGGTGTCCCCAAGCCTCTCCCTGTGCTGGAGTCCCCCAGCACCTCTCAGCTCCAGTCCCTGTGTCCGCAGCCCTGGTCCCTCCGGTGTCGCCCTGTTCTGGTGTCCCCATTGTCCCCTTGTCCTGGCATCCCTACAACCCCAGTGGCCCCAGCCCCATTGTCCACCTGCCCCGGTGCCCCCAACCCCACTCCTGATCCCCCCGCAGCCCCTACCGCAGCATCCTCTCCAGCCCCACAGTCCCCAGCATCCCCAGCCCTGACAGCCCCAGTCCCCACAGTGTCCCCAACCCTGTCAAAGCAACCCCTCCAACCCCAAGGCCAGCATCCCCCATCCCTGCCCGCCCCGGTACCCACAGCGTCCCCACCCCAGTCTGTGTCCCCCGCAGCTCCCTTGTCCCCACCACGTTCCCCAGCCCGGGTCCGTCCCGCTTCTGCCGTAGCGGTGCCGCCGGCCCCCGGGCACCGCAGCGGGGACGGGGACGGTGCCGCACGTACCTGGGGCCGTGCTCACGGCGCGCGGAGGTTCATCCCCGCCGGTGGAGCCGAGCACCCCGCCGGTACCGGAGGCTTAAAAGCGGGGTCGCGGAGGAAGGAGGAGGGGGGGGGGGGGCAGCGGGCCGGGACCCCCCCCGGAGGGGGCCGAGCCGGGCCGGGCCGGGCCAATCGCGGCTGGCGGCAGGCGCGGCCCCCCCGCCGGTGCCGCCGGTGCCGCCCGCCCGCACCTGCCCGCAGCGGCGGAGAACCCGCGCCCGCTCCGCGCCCCGCCGCGCTGCCCGGCGCAGGGCGAGGGGCGGCCGCGCATGCGCTGCCCCCCCCCCAAACCGGGGCCACCCCCCCCCCCAAACCCGAAGCCGCCCCCTCCCCATCGATCACATCGCCGGAGCTTGGGGGGGTCCCTGTAACGATGGGGGGTGCTTAAAGGGGGGTAACGTGTAAGGTAGGCTGGGGGCCCCCTCTGCATTCAACATCCCCTCCTGTCCCTGCACGGGGAGCCGGCTGAGTCCAAGTGGGATTCTAGGGGGTCTCCAAAAAAAGGGAGGGGTAACTTTACAGCCCTTCCAGCCTTTCTGCAGCCCCCCCTTCCCCCAAAAAGCCACTGTGGGGTCCTTCCTGTCCCAGACATTTCACCCCACACTATCCCTGCCCTGGGATGCAGTGGGATTTTAGGGGGTTTCCAAACAGGGAAGCATCTTCCAGCCTCTCTGCACCCCAAACCCCCTCCCAAGCCATAGAGGGTACAACCAGCAGCATCTCCCATCCCCTTTGCACTCCCATGTGGCCCCGTGCTGTGGGGAGGGGGTGTCACCTTCCTGATGGTGAATGGAGAATGCCACCCTGTCTCCCACAACTTGGCAACAAGCAGTGAAAGAGTATTTCCCCCCCCCTCTCCCCCCGCATTTTGCCCATAGGATCCACGGAAACCCGAGAGCAAAGTTCTCATTTCCGACTCCATTGTGCCAGAGTTTTTGCGGCGTTTCCTGCCTTTTGTGAGCCCCCCCTCCCCAGCACAACCCTGCACAGAGCTCTTCTGTTCCCCTTCTTTATGTGCCTGCAGCTGGCGTCCCCCATCCCCACATAGGTGCCCGAGCGTGGGGGACAGCCACAGGGGTTAATACCCCCATGGTGTTTGCCAGGATTGGGAAGAGGATCCCATGGGATTTGTGATGTTCTGGCTACTCCCTGCTCTGAGCGGATCCAGGTGGCTGGTGCTGCCACTCTACAGATCTATCCTGCTTTGGAAAGGGCACCCATGGGTGCTGGTTGGGGTTTGTTACACTGTCTGATGGGTGCTGAGAGGATGGTCCAGCGTGGATGAGCTGGTTTGTGGTGGAAGCAGGACCACTGCCCATGTGCTGGCTCTGAAATGCTCACCCTGTTCATGCAAGGATTTTGGCACCCTTTGGGGTGAAGATGCTCCCATTGCCCCCCACCACAGCCAGGTCCTGCACCCACAGCAAAACCCGCATCCCACCCTCCTGCTGCCTCTCTGCTGCCTCTCCCAAATGCTGCCTCCACCTCTTCATCTTCCTTTCCCAAGCTTCATCCGGGTGGCACGGGCAGGGTGTGACCCGCACAATCCCACACTGGGGATTAGATGGGGTCACCCATGAGCTTGGCTCCCCCAGCACCCATGGGTCACCCTTCACCAACTAAAACTGGACATGGTGACAAAACTGCACCCAGCCTTGACCCTGACCCACAGTGGGTCCATGGAGTGAAGGGGCCATGGGGAGAGCAGAGCCAAACTCAAACCTCTCCATGGGCTCAGAGCAACAAGGGGGGAGTAGAGGGACCCTGGGCACCCAAGCATCCACCTCTGGTGGGACACAGGGCCCCGGCAGGACCAGGGTGGCCGCTCTGCTGTTTGTCTTGCTGAGGAAGGTGCTGGCAGTGAGATATGGGAGCTCTCCTCTTGAGTGCAGATAAATGTCATAACAGCCACCAGCCAGTGCAGCTTACGGATGGGGATTTAACACCACCTCTCCCCTGTGCCAGCAGCTCCATGCCTGGGGACTGCAGCCCTTGGTGCTGGTGGTGGGACCAGATCTTCCACTGGCACCAGTCTGGAGCCCCAGTGTCCCCCTTGCTGGTCCCCCCAGCTGGGAGGTGACTTCATGGGGTCCCTCTTCCCTCTGGGAGCAACCTGGAGCCCCAACATCCCACCATGGCCATCTCTTCGTCCAGGTGGGAGAGCCAGCTCCGCCTGGCACAAGGGGATGTCCCCATGTCCTCATCCTTGCCCTGCTCAGGGTGCCTTCCACACCCCAGCCCCACATCCAGCCCATCCTTGGGGCATTGCCCCAGGAGCACCAATGGCTCTGCCCAGAGCTTCTCCAACAAAGCAGCACCCACTGTCACCAGGTCCCCGCTGCACCCCATGTTCCCAGCCTCACCGGGGACAGGCCACATGGCCCCAGGCAGCAGTGGATGGGGTGACTCCATCCCTCGGTCCTGCTCCCTTGGTCCCAGCCCTGGCAGGTTTGGCACCGTGTGTGCCAGGGTGAGCAGGGCCCTGAGCATCATTTTGAGCCGGAACGCTGGGTTTCTGGTGAAATCCTGCAGCAGTGTTGCCGTGACGACCCTCCTGCAGTTTCCATCCAGAGATGTTTTCCTTTGTTGTGACAGGGACGCAGGGAGGTGGCCATGGGGCGATTGGGGTGTGTGGTGGCAATGGTGGGGGGGTCCAACTGCGAGGTGCAGAGACCTGGTGGGGCTCCAGCTTCAATGTGGGGCTGGGGGTCCCCATGGGTCCAGCACAGCTCTGACTTGGCCCCAGACACGCAGGGGACAGCAGAGGGGCCAGGAGCCACATGACATGAGGTCTCAGCCAGGTCTCGCTCCTATCAAGAGCCACAAAAGAGAGGTGATGTGGCCAACCCACAGTGCAGGGACAAGCGTGGGAGCACTGCAGGGGATGGAGAGGTTGGCCCTCTGTGAGCATGTCACAAAGCACCCCTTGTCACCCCAATGACAGAGCCAGTTTGGGGGGGCGGTGGGGCTTGGACCCTCCCCAGCTCCAGCACTGCCCAGTTTGGCATCCAGGACAGCAGCACTGTGACCAGGGTGCTGAGCAGCATCACCGCTGCCATCCTGCGGGTGCTGTGCACCGAGGGACTGGGGTGCCAGGGACCCTCCGTGTGCAGCCCCAGTCCCTGCACCGCCGGGGGGACCCCGTCCCGCGCCCCACGGAGCCGCTTGTTATTCCGCTCAGGTCCACGGGCGGCTGATGGAGCCGGTTCCAGGAGAGCTGCCACATTCATCGGGAGAGAGGCTTATTAATGAGGCCTCTGCCACTGCAGCTGGGGCCAGCACTCGGGGCACTGCCACGGGGACAGGCAGCAGGCGGGTGCATGGGTGGATGCATGGATGCATGCATGGATGGACGGATGAACGCCTCCACGACAGGGCAAACTGGCATCTCGTGCCTTGGCCAAAGCCGGGGCTGAAGTAGGGCAGGTTGCCCCGATCCGAGGTCTGCTCTGGAGGGGATGGGCTGAGACCCAGCACCATGGACACCACGGACACTCTTCCATCCTCCCCTCAGCCATTCACCCACTGTGGCTGGTTTCTGCTTTTGGCTGGTGCCAAACCTGCCCCACAGCATGACCTGGGCATGGCAGTGAGGGCATGGAAGGGTCTGGGGGTGCAGCACCCCCCTGGGGACACAGAGCCCCTGCCCTGGCCAGGCCCAACTTCCCTCCCAGCCCAACAGCAGGATGCATTGATTTTATTTTCTGTTTCCATAGCAACTGCCTCCTTCCCTTCCCCCTTCTGGCAGCCAGACCCGCTCCTTCACCCTCCTGCAGCACCCACCCCACCAGCACCCACTCCACAGTGCAGGGGGCTATCTGGGGGAGCAGCCAGCAGGGACTGGGAGCAGACATGGGACACGGTGCTGGTTCATTTAATCCAGGGCAGTACTTGCCCCCCTGGCCGACTACAGCATCTCCCATTAGTGGAGCCAAGCTGATTAATGGCACATCCTACCCCACACCACTGATGTGCCATGTCTCTGGCATTCCTTGTGCCATGGCACTGGCAGGGAGGACACTGGCACCGCAGCAACACAACCATGAGCCCGGTGTCCTCACCCCTTCGGGAGAAACACCAGTTTGTGAATTAAGATCAGGGTTATTATAAGATAATTATAATTATATCCTTTATCAATCCTCTTCCAGAGGGCGCACCCGTCGCTTCTCGGCACTGCTCCTTCCCAGCGCGGAGATGCCACCACATTGGTATTTAGCATCAGTTACCGGCTGTGCCAAATCCTGACCTTCCTGGTGCCCCAGGGACCCGCGCCCCCTCTGCTTAGGGAGGGGAATAGAGGCAGAGGAGAACAGGCAGGGCGCTGTGCCGGGCCGAGGGGCCGCGGTGCTGAATGCCGCCCGTGCCGCAGTCACCGGTAATCCCCCGTGTTTACACGGAAGCGGGAATCAATCCGAGCGAGTCATTAACGGCGAAGGGCACAAGACCCGCGGCTGCTTCGGAAGCCGCTGCCGGGCCAGGCCGGGGTCATGGCGCGGAGCTCACACGCCGGCACCCGCAACACAAAAGGCACTGGCATTCGCTTCCTGCACCGCCGGCACCGGCACCGGGCCAGCGCCCCGGTGGCTCACGGCTGCGAGCTCACGCCCGGTGGGAGCGGGGGGTCTGGATCGGTGCCGGAGCCTTGGTTTGGCACCAGCCTTTCCATTAGCTCTTGGATAGAAAGCAAAGGCCCCCCTCGGCGGGCTGGATGGCAGCCGGGAGCCAGCGCCACCGCCAAGCTGCTGCCGGCACAGCCGCAGTCAGCGCCTGCCTCGTTCCTCGAGAGCGAGAGGGTGAGGAAGATGCTGAGGCTGAAGCGCCCCAGGGGCCGGAGCGCTGCCCCCTTTCCCCTCAGGGTCACGGGGGTGATGGGGACAGGGACAGCAGGCGCGGGCAGGGGGTGAGGTGGGGAGCAGTGGCACAAGTGGCAGATGTGTCCCCAGCACACAGTTAGCCCAGGGGCAAGCATGGCTCCGGCGGGTTTTGACCCAATTCTTCAGGCAAAACTCAGCGGGGGGAGATGGGGAGGGAGGAGGAGGAAAACTGAGCCCATCACGCGTGTGCTGCTGCATGTGAGCACATGCGTGTGTGCTTTCTGACATGCGTGTGCGCGGGCAAGCACAGCAGCTCCAGATGCCGGTGAAGGATCAATTGAAGCAGCTCCTGTGTTCTGTGTGTGGCTGGGAGGTGATTTCTCCCTGCACAGCTGCTCCGGGCTTCCCACTGCGATGCCTGTGGGATTGCCGGCCCTGCTGAGAGGCTGCCATGCTGGGAAGCAGGAGGGTTGGAGCTCCCGGAGCTTTGTGCTTGTGACTTGGAGGAGGATGGTGGAACATGTAGGGATTGAGTGTGCAGGGATGTAGGAGCATTCAGAGATGCTGGGGTGTGAAGGGGTGCGGGAGCATTCACAGATGCTGGGGTGTGCACGGTTGTAGGAGCGTTCAGGGATGCAGGAGCATTCAGGGATGCTGGGGGGTGAAGGGATGCAGGAGCATTCAGGAATGCTGGGGTGCACAGGGATGTAGGAGCATTCAGAGATGCTGGGGTGCGCAGGGATGTAGGAGTGTTCAGGAATGCTGGGGTGCACAGGGATGTAGGAGCGTTCAGGAATGCTGGGGTGCACAGGGATGCTGGGGTGCACAGGGATGTAGGAGCGTTCAGGAATGCTGGGGTGCACAGGGATGCTGGGGTGCACAGGGATGTAGGAGCGTTCAGGAATGCTGGGGTGCGCAGGGATGTAGGAGCATTCAGAGATGCTGAGGTGCGCAGGGATGTAGGAGCGTTCAGGAATGCTGGGGTGCGCAGGGATGTAGGAGCATTCAGAGATGCTGAGGTGCGCAGGGATGTAGGAGCGTTCAGGAATGCTGGGGTGCGCAGGGATGTAGGAGCATTCAGAGATGCTGAGGTGCGCAGGGATGTAGGAGCGTTCAGGAATGCTGGGGTGCGCAGGGATGTAGGAGCGTTCAGGAATGCTGGGGTGCACAGGGATGTAGGAGCGTTCAGGAATGCTGGGGTGCGCAGGGATGTAGGAGCATTCAGAGATGCTGAGGTGCGCAGGGATGTAGGAGCGTTCAGGAATGCTGGGGTGCGCAGGGATGTAGGAGCACTCAGGGATGCTGGGGTGCAGAGGGATGCTGGGGTGTGCAGGGATGCAGGAGCTCTCAGGGATGCTGGAGCACACAGGAATGCTCCAACTGCAGGCATACCCCAGTGTGCAGGGATGCTGGAGCATGCGAGGATGGATGCTGGGGTGCCCAGGGACGCTGGGATGCGCAGGGATTCCTGCCCTCCCCGCGGTCTCCGCCGCTGCCGCTCCGAGCCGCGCTCCCACAGTGCCACCTACCGCGCTGGCCCGGGACGGCACCGGGCACCCACCCGCAGCACCCAACCCCAGCCCGGCGGGGTCCCCCTGGAGCCGGGGAGGGGAAACACCCCCAGAACCCTGCAGGGGCCGGGAGCGGGGCTTGGGGGGACGAGGCCTTTGCAGAGGGGGTGAAGCACCGGGGGGGTCACCCCCGGGGGTGCTGCATGGGGGGGGGCCCTGCGTGCAGCCCCCCCATAGCCTTGGAACGCGGGGGGGGGGGCTCAGGGGGTGCCGGAGAGCGCAGAGCACGGGCGGCTGCTCCCGGAGGTCCCCGATGCCCGGGGGGGGGGGGGGGGGGGTGGAGCTCTGCGGCGGAGCTCGGGGGTGGGGGGTGGGTCCCGGGGAAGGTGCTCCGCCTCTTCCTGCGCCGGGCGGGCGGTGAGTGCGGGCGGCCGGAGGGGACGGGGATGGGCGCGGGATGCCGCAGTAGCGGGGTCCGGCGGTGCTGCCATGGTCCCGGGGGTCCCCATGGCTCTTAAGGGTTCCGCAGTGCTGCCCGGATGCTTCTAATGCTGCTGGGCGTCCCTTGTGATGTTTCGGGGGGGGTCCCCAATGCTGCCTGGGATACCCAGTGCTGCTCAAGGGTCCCAAGTACTGAGGAGTCCCTGATGTTGCTCGGGGTCCTCAGTGCTGCTTAGGGATCCCCAGTGCTGCCCGGGGTGTCCCCAGTGTTGCTTGGGGGTCCCCAGTGCTGCCCGTGGGTCTCTATTGCTTCTCAGGGGTCCCCAGTGCTGCCCAGATGCCTCTGATGCTGCTGGGTATCCCCAGTGCTGCTGGAGTGTCCCAGCGCTGCCTGGGGTTCCCCAGTGCTGCTCAGGATGTCCCCAGTGCTGCTGGGGGTCCCCATTTTCACCCCTCGCTGTCTCTCTGCAGGCAGCGATGCCCCTGGAGCCCCTCATCTGCTCTGACACTGCCACACGGTGAGTCCCGGCCCCTTGGGGGGGCAGCGGGGTGCTGCGGCCACCGCTGCCGGGAGGAGCCTCTGAGTCCCTGCAGGGGACTCGTGTCCCAGCACTGGCGCTGTCCCCATCGTGTGTCCCTGCAGGGTGAGCTCCGTGCTCAACCGGGATGTGAAGCACTTTGGGAAGAAGCACATGTTCGATGCGAGCGAGGAGACGTGTTGGAACTCGGACCAGGTTTGGGGATGAGGGTGGGATGGGAGCCGTGCACACGGTGAACCCCCCGTTGTCCCCACTGTGACAGAGCTCTTGGTGTCATTCCTGCCCCCAGGGCACGTGCCAGTGGGTCACGCTGGATTTCCCCGGCTCTGTCAAGATCTCGCAGCTTCACATCCAGTTCCAGGGGGGATTCTCCAGCCAGCTGTGCACACTGGAAGGTGAGGAGCCGGGCTGGGGGCACGGGGGTCCCTCTGCCTCAGTTTACCCACACCTACAGCCCACAAGGGTATTTGTCAGCTATTCCCAAACTGCTGGAAGGGCTGAGGCCATGGGCTGGAGCAGAGGGGCGTGAACAGCAAGGACCTGGGCTTCTCTGGGATGCTTTGGAAGCAGATGGGGACCTGGTCCTGGCCCTGCAGCAGAGCAGGCACCGGGAGGATTTTGTCCTCTGCAGGGTGCAAAGCAGGCGAAGAACTGGAGCGAATCTCCACCCTGTACCCCAAGGACAGCAACGCCATGCAGATATCCTTTGCTGGGCTGCGTCGAGCCCCTTGGCAGAGGGGTTCACAGCCCCGCGAGGCGGTGGAGGGCAGGGGGGTACGGCAGAGCTGTGATTTAAATGTAGACCTGTGGGGGCTGCTGCTGCAGCTGCTCAGCAGAGCTGGAGCTGCTCCAGACATCCCCAGCCATGGGGCACCCCTTGGAGCGGGTCTCCATGTGTCCTGGCACCCCCCCGCCTGTTTCAATCCTTTACGGGCCCCGCACAGATTCCAGGTGGAGGAGACGGTGCTGGATAAGCTGAAGATCACGTTTGAGAACAGCACTGACTTCTTTGGGAGGATCGTTGTGTATCACCTCGGGGTGCTGGGGGAGAGGCTCTAGGGGAGCACAGGGGGGCTTCTCCCCATTGCCGGTGTTCCCCGTGTGGAGGGGGGGACAGACATACAGCCCCCAGCTGCACCCCGAGGCACTGAGAGGAACCCCCTGTCCCATGGGATGGCAGTGACAGAGGGAGACCAGTGCACAATCCATGGGCTGGACTTTGAGCCCATGGTGTGACACAGCCTGTGTGACTGGATGAATAAATGATGTCCCTGCTCCTTCCTGGCTGCTCCTTGGGCAAGTGGCACCCTGGGACTGAGCCCATGGCTTTGCCATGGCCATGCTGGTGCATGGCTGGAGCAGAAGAGAGGTGTCCCCTCTGTGTGCTCTGGGCTTTGGCTGTCTCTCACCTTTCCCAACCACCCCTGAACTTCTCGGAGCAGCTCTATGCAGCCTCGCAGGCTCCAGCGCAGGATGGCACCGTGCTGGCTGCCAGCCGGGGCTGTGCTGTGCTCCTGGCTGGCAGGGTGATGGCTCCTGCTGGCTTCTGCTCCTGCCTGTGGGTGTTTCCCTGGCTGGTTACAGCACTGGCACTGTGTGGAGGGTGGGCTTGGCAATTTATGGGCATAAGAGGGAGCCTCCCTCTTCAGAGACAGCTCCAGAGAGGAATAGCAGGCCTTGAAGAGGTTGGTTGGCCCAGTTCCCCTCATGGCTGCCCAGTAGCTGGTGCTGGATCAGGGCCTGGCACCTGTGACAGGACAGGGCTCCACACGGCTGCTTTCAGGTTTAATTCCAAGGACATGATACCTGTTTGCATGGTTTGAATGCAAACACGAGCACAGCAGCTGAGCCCGGACACAGCAGGAGTGTCCCTGGTGCGAGGCCTCATGGCTGTGTCACCTCCAGAAGAGGCACTGATGCCCCCAGGACAGGCAGTTCCCAGCTTCCTCCATGTCCTCCTTGCTTGAAGCATCACGCCACTGCCCATTCCAGAATGGCTCGGTAAGGTCATGGTGTTCCCAGAGGAGAGCCCTGTGCCAGGTGGGAGCAGTGCTGAAGCTGCAGCAGGAGCAGCTGTTGTCATTTCAGCTCCTTGTTCTGAAATAGCTTGAGGATGTGGTTTTCCATAACCTGTTGAACTAACGGAGGGGAGAGAAGGGACACGGGGAAGCTAGGCTGTGAAAAGCCAGGACTGCTGTGTGCAGGACCCTGTTTTCCAGTGGGAGGCTGGAGAACTCCTTTATCCAAGGGTCTGTCCCTATCTCCTGTGTCCCCACCCTATCTCCAGCACAGCTCTGGTTTGGAGGGGGAGCAAAGGGAACAGGACCCATTGATTTCTTCAGCTTGGTTTCTCTGCATGGCAGAGCAGGGAGCTGTGCTGGAGAGTCAAGGAAAGCCCCAAGCGGGGCTGGAAGCTGGGAATTGCCTGGAGGCTTTTCAGGGCTCTCTGCCAGGCAGGGAGGGGACACTTGCCTTTCTTGTGTCCCAGGGCCACAGCCAGATCCATAGGGGTGTAGCCAGAATCTGCCTCTTCCGTCAGGTCAGCGCCACGAGCTGCAAGCAGTGGGGATCAGTCCCCTGCGAGTCAGCACAGGGTGAGGGGACGCCCAAAAGGTGCCCGTGCTTGGGCAGCTGCTCAGGCGTGTTGAGGTGGTCAGCAGGGAGCAGAGCTTCCCCGTTACCTAGGAGGGCCTCGACACACTTGACGTGATTGCCACGCACGGCGTAGAGCAGAGGAGTGCCGCCGTTCTGCAGGGAAAGGGAAGGGGCTGGGTCACTGCCAGCCTCACGTGGGGCCGCCCTCACCCAGCTCCTGCTGCTCCCAGGAAAGGTTTTGTTCCCTTTGCTATACAATAACTTCAATTGTGTCATTTGAAAGACAAAGTTCCGAGCACTGTGTCCCTGGGGCTGGAAACACCGGCAGTGCGAACAACTGAGGAATGCCACGTTGGATGCGCCCTGGGGAGCCTGCTCTAGTGGAAGGTGTCTCTGCCCATGGCAGGGGTTTGGAACTGTGTGATCTTAAGGCCCTTTCCAACCCAAACCTATGATTCCTACCACAGCTGCCTGAGCAGGCAAGCGGGGCACTCACCCAGTCATAGATGTTGATGTCCACGTTCCTCTCGAGCAGCAAGGTGACGATGTCGGTGTAGCCGCCCATGCTGGCCAGGGACAGGGCGCTCTCCCGCTCCTTCGCCAGTGCGTGGGGGTCAGCACCCTGGGGACGGTACCAGCGTTAGGGTGAAGGAGCCCCAGGGTGCTGTGATGGAGCCGGGTCGCGGAGGGCAGAGGCAGCAAACATGTTCCCAGTGAACCAGGTGTGTTTTAATCAGCAGCAGCATCTCAGGTGAGGACTTGAAAGCCCTTCTCCAGTGTCAGTAAATGAAGCCTTATGTGGTTCCTATTACTCAGAAACCCATCACTAGTCAAGGTGTTCCCAGCCCTATCGAGATGCCTGTACAGTATCCACTGTCTCTTTTATTACTGATTTACATAGAAAACTTCTCTGTCCTCCAAGCCCTTGCCACCACAGACCTCTCCTGGACTTCATTATGCCCTTTATCAATATACCACCTTATTTATTTTGGGTTCTGTTTGTCTCTCTAGTAATGCACTTCAGACTTGCTGCTAATACAGTAACAGGGTTCGGGCAGTGCTTACGAGCTGTGAGTGCTTGCTGACGGTTGGATATGGGACAGAGCTTTGGGGAGCAGCTTGATCCAGAGCACAGGAGGATCTGGTTCCTACTTACCCCCAGACAGTCCTTGACTGCAAGCCCAGCACTCAAGGATGTTGCAGCAATGAGTTCATTAGCTGCAATGATGCCTCGATGAGCACATTTGCAGGCAGATTACAGGGCCCCAGTGATAAGCCTGATCTCAAATTACCAATAAGCAGATATTTAATTACAAACAGTTCTTGCTAGCTGTGAGGTAAGTCTCTTCATGCTCTTGACTTAGCTCACAGCCCAATGGGGAGGAGCATCTGACAGCGCCCGAGCCGTTTGCTTTGCAAACGTGTCCTGTTTGGTGCCATGGGAAAGACTGGCTGAGACAGTGCCAGGATGGTGCTGGGCAGTTTGGCAGCCACTGGGACTGGAGGGGGGTTGGGTCTTCTGTTAACAAGGTGCTGCATAAGTGTGGTCTTACCCATTCCAGCAAGTGCCGGACCGTTTCGATCTCTCCAAAGGCTGCAGCCCAGATCAGCGGTGTGAAACCTCTCTCATCAGGCTTATTGACCAAGTTCTCGCCTGCACAAACATGGATGAGACATGAGAGATAGGAAGGGTAAAGGCCCTCTGCTCCACATCCTCCCAGTAAACCCAGCAAAGGCTGTCAAACTAAGCTGAGGGTTTATGAAAGTGACCTGGCATGATCGGGGGCAAGAACCCAAAGAGCCACAGGTACCTTTCCGAAGGTGCTCCTTGAGCTGGCTGAGCTCCCCCTGGGCAGCGAGCTGGTGAATGGACAGCGCTGGGGGACAGAAAGAGTTCACCCATCAGCATCAGACACCCCCCAGCTCAGCACCCACTGCCTGCGGGCGTGCGAGGCGCGGTGGCACTCACTGTCCAGCGTGGCCGGGAGGGCTGAGACCTCATTCCCTCGCTGCCTGTTCGTCAGCGTGTTCGAGTGCTTCAAGGGGAAACCTGCTCCCAGAGAGAGAAGAGAGTCAGGACATGTCTCCTCCGTGCACAGGAGGAACCACACTGACTCGAGACCAAAAGCCTCCTGCACGCTCAGGTCTCCTGTGCGTGATCTGAAGCTGTTCCCTCCTGTCCCTGGCAAAAACTGAGCTGGGCAAACCAGAAATTACTCCCCTGCAACTGAACCCAAGATGAGGTTTGAGCGGTGCCACAGGGACCCGCAGCTGAGCAGGGAAGATAAACCAGCCCCAAGAGCTGCCTGAGGAGGGGCAGGGTCCATCTGGGGCACTGTGGAAGGCAGGGATCTGGCATTAATGACATAATGGCACACGAGGGACGCACTCATGTTCATCCTCATACGTCCTACCCCTCAAGAGCTCCACTTGGAAATCTCAGTGTGTTTTCAACACACGAGTCCTGGTTTCATTAGGAAAGCACATGAAGAGTTTGCCATTTCCCATTCCACTGCATGGAGCTGCAGCGACCTCTCACTGCCAGCGCCAAGACATCACCAAGGTGATTTGGATTTGGCCTTGCCATGTTATGGGAGGGACCAGCAGCAGCAAGGCTGTTTTCCAGCTCTCTTTGAGGGATGAGGGACCCAGCTGAGCCCGGTGGGGCTGTGCTGAGCACCAGGCTTTGCAGCACTCACTGTCAAGAGCCGAGAGCTCAGTGCTCTTCTGTTCGTCCACGGCGGGCTTCGTGAGCGCGTCTGCTCCACCTGCAAAACCAGGACAGCCGCTGGGGCCCTTGGTGCAGCTCTCCCGGGGAGCAGCCTGGGCCCCTCGTGTGGCACAACGAGACCCCAGCCCTCACTGCAAGCACCCCAGAGGTGATCCCGGTTTACAGGGGCAGGCGCTGGGTGCGCACTGGCCCCACCACAGCCCCGTCACCCCCAGCACTCACCATCCCCATGGCCCCAGCGCGCCGTGTCCAGGTCCGGCTGCAGACACACGGCGGGGGCACCGCTGTCCCCCGTGTCCCCGCTCGCACCCAGCTCCTCTGCGCCTGCTGCTCCCTCGGCTCCATTCTCACCCTCTTTCGGGAGCTCCTGCGCAGCCCCAGCGCTCGGGGGGGTCTCCTCGGGACGAGCCGCTGCTCCTTCACCTTCCATGGGGCAGCTGCCACACAACAGCGCGTTAGGAGCGGGGGGAAAGGGGGGAAGCCCGGGGGGTGGAGCGGACGGAGGCGGGGGCCAGGACTGCCGATAACCGGAGCACCCAGGGCCTGCGGACCCCCCGCCCCTCCCGCTCGCCCCCCGCCCCGGGCAAGGACCGGAGCCCGGCCGAGCCAGGGCGGGCCGGAGGGACCCGTCCTCGCTTAACCCGCGGCCATCCCCCGCCGGCCGGCCCGGCCCAGCCGAGCCCCCGGGCTCACCCCCGGCATCCTCCGCCGCGGGGCCCCGCGTCCTGCCCGGGCACTTCCCGTTCCTCCGGCGCGGCGCGGCGGGGCCCGGCCCCCCAGCATTTGCCCTTCGTGGCGGGGCTGTGAGCGGTGAAGTGTCCGGTGGGACGGTTCCAAGGTGGGGGGGGGGGCTCCGGGCCCCGCTGTCCCGCACAGCGCCGGGGGGCAGCGCCGGGGGAACGGTGGTGCTGGGGCGCTGTTTCCAGCCGGGGCCCTTTGCAGGGAGGAGGAGGCGGCGGCGGAAGCGGACGCAGCGGCGGGAGGGGACGGGACGGGACGGGACGGGACGGGACGGGGCGGGATGGAGGAGCCGGAGATGCAGCTGAAGGTGAAGAAAGGTGCGAGCGGAGTCTCGGTGGGGGTCGGCAGCCTTAGCACCGGTCGCGACAGGGTCCTGCGGGTCGTGACAAGGCGAGGGCGCTCTGCAGCGGCTGCAGAAGTCACGAGAGGGCCTTGCGAGTGGTGCGAAGGCCCCAGGTGGCGATTCAGTGGCTGATAATTGGGTATCGCGGTCACAGCAGAGCCCAGAAAGGCCCCGCGGGCGTAGTCGCGATAGGGAGCTGTAAATCGGGACAAGGAAGGGGACGACGTGGCCCGGCAGGACCCCGCAGCTGGGGGCAGAGCCGTGGGGACCCTCGGAGCCCGGCCCTGCTCTGGCTCGTCCTCTGCCTGCTCCACCGCGAGGGTCCGTTGGGTCCCTGGTGTCGGACGGACACACGGCGGCTGTGCCTGTCCCGGGGGGCAGAATCCTTCCTGAGAAGCTCGTTGCCGTTTGTGCGCTGCAGCCCCCCCGTATGCTGGCATCACAGACCTGGGGCGCCCGAGCGGTTGTCACTGAAACCAAAGCTCCGAAGGGAGGAGGAGAGGAACCCAAAACTGATGCAGGAGCTGCACTTGTCCTGCTTCTGCCCGGGGCAAATACTCCCCGAGCATCCCTTGCTATGAGCAATGAAACAAGCTCCAAGTTTGGGCTTTTAATTATCAGGCGCTGATAATTCTCCTTGTGGACCTGCAGGGAAAGAGGGATCAGAGCTGTGACTCAGTTGGAAAGATGTTCCCATGTGGAGTGGGGCCTGCACAGAGCCCGAGCCAGGATGAGAGGAGTGTAAGGAGGGGAAGAGGCTCAGCAGCCACCTCAGAACAGCAGCAGAGATTCCTTGGTTGGCAGCCACCAGCCTCCTCCATGGGCTTTTGTAGGACATCACCCTGGGGAGCAGCAGCGGGACCCCGCTGGATGCCCTGAGAAAGACAGGTTGGGAGAAGCAGCATTCCCAGCCAGGCACAGGAGCAGAGCCTGGGCTCTGCTCAGCTCTTGCCCCCTTTCAAACTGGTCAATGACAGGCATAACCCTGAAACCAGAACAACCAGAGCTTGTAAGGGACCATGGCCACGGTGACATCCCAGGCTGGCTCTGCCAAGGGATGGGGGACATCCCAGGCTGGCTCTGACAAGGGATGGGAGACATCCCAAGCTCTCCTCTTCCCATGCCTGTTGTTGCTCTTGTTGCAGTCACAGACAAGTTCACGGAGAGCATGTACGTGTTGGCCAACGAGCCCTCGGTGGCACTGTACCGGCTGCAGGAGCACGTGCGCAGGTCTCTCCCCGAGCTCGCCCAGCACAAGGTGAGTTGGGCTCCACTTGGCCTCCAGAGCTGCCACACTCAAGCACAAAGTGCTCTCCTGACCTGTCCTGTTGTCCCTACTTCACTTCCCTAAGGGGGAGCAGGAAGGAGGGAGGAAATTGGCCTCTGGGATACGAGATGCTGCAGGACCCCAGCTCGGCGTGAACTAGAGAGAACGGTGCAAATTTACCTGTGGACCCAAGTCAAAAAGCAGCTTGAGAGTGCAGCCATGATCCTGTGCTCTCACAGCTGGATTTGTGCATGGAGACAAAGAGAAAGGAGTAGTCTGTTTTGTACAGGCAGGAGGGAGATGCTGAGTCTTATTACCCCTGCCTGCAATGGGAGGTTTTTATTTCCTACATAAAATAAGGAGGAGGGTGAGAGGAGGGAAGGGGGAGAGTGAAGAGACAACTGAGAAGAGCCCACATGAAGCAAAGCAGGATAATGAATCGCATCTCACAGCTGTGTTCCTCCTTTCCTCCAGAGCACAGACTCTTTAATGCCAGCCTTGTTGTCCTTCTCCCTCTTCTGCCAGTCATGATTCATTAGGAGTGATGTCTCATGAATAGATTACTGCTTCATGTCTATGCTAATGCACTGTCAGGCCCCATTTTTCACCTTTGCTTTACAGCCCTGCTTTCCAAATTAACCTGGATTGTGACACTTTATTATTCAATTATTTATTAATGTTTTATATAGGTGTCTGTATGCAGTGGTTGGTGTATAGAGATGTATGTGTGTGTACAGCACGTGCTGCTTGTGCCACTGGCATGCAGGAGACAGGGTTGTAATCTTATTCCTGAGCTGTCACTTGCTTTCATTTAATCAGGATAGTCCCACTTTCAGGGAATGTGTCCTGAACAAAAGGAAATGGAGCAGATTGTATGACAAGTCTTGCAGAGGAGAGAGATCAGTTCCCATCCCTGAGCGGTGCCTAGCAGGGATGAAGGTGGGGGACATCGCAGCAGCACTAATGGAAGCAGCGCTGAGTGAAGGTGCCAGACGCAGAGTGGTGTTGAGCAGTGGGGTTTATGCCAGGCTAAGGCTCTGAAAACCTTTGGTTCTCTCATTTTCCCTGCTCTTTGCAGTTGATCTGCAGCGTTCTGTGACCTCTCTGGCTCATCCAAGTTCATTTCCTAACTGCAGCCCTCCCAGAGAATCCTCTTTTGTAGCCAGATTTGTTGCTGGTTTTCACTTGTGAGAAAGGAGGTCACGCTGTCCTGTGAATGCCAGCAGCATCTGTGAGGACCCTGGACCCCCTGTGTGACTGCAGCCTCACAAGCATCAGATCCCTTTGGTCTTCAATGCCTTCATGTTCAGCCTCACATCCTCCCTCCTGCTCTGCTCTCTAGCCCAGCTGGAGCAGCGGTGGCCTTGGCACACGAGGAAGAGCTCCCTGCAGTAACAGCACATGGCAGGACAAAGCTGAACTGATCACACGGTGCCCTGGTGTCACCCCAGTGCCTGTTTGCCTCTCCAGTGTTAGAAGTGTGGCAAGAGCTGGGAGAGAATGGAAAGAAAATGGTTTGTGGCAGCTGGAATAGAGCTGCTGTGAGGGACATTTCCTCCAGCCCCATCAGCTTCCCATGTTCTCCTCCCTGCTGGTAACTGGTAGGAACTGGGAGGATTAAACATAACTCAGGCCTGTGCTGCCAAGCTGCTGGCAGTGGGCTGGTGGCCAGGTTCTCTCTGTTGTCCTTGATCCCACTCTCATTTTATCCCAGTTTCAGGCATTGCTGTTTGCAGTGAACAGGCCGAGCCTGACAAGCCCAGGCAGCCAAACCCCAGGAGGGAGGGATGTGCTCAGGGTTGTGGTCACAGCATTCCATTAGATGAGGATGGATATTTTGGGTTACTCTGCCAGAGCCCATTGGCTTTGTGGTTAGAGACTGGAACAGGAGGGTGTCAGCAGGGCTGTGCACCGTGAACACGCTGTCAGGTTTGATCTGGATCAGAGCAAAGGCATTAAAGTGCTTTAAATGCTTCAGAATAGAAAAGAAGAAAAAGAAATGTTCTGTATGGATCTGTTCTTAAGTAATTTAGTCCCAAGATGTAGGTAATGTATAAAGGAAATGGGATTTATTGGTGGTTTCCAGCTTTCCTTCAGCCATGCACCAACTCCATCTCTGGCTGTGAATGGTCCTGAGATGCAGCCTTTGAAATTCCCAGGGTTAAGCCTCGGAAAAATTGGGAAGGAGGGGGCTGGGAAAAAAGTTTCTGCAGGGAGAAGATCACCCTCGTGCCTTTACAACAAGCAACTTGCTGTGATTTGAGAAAACAATAATCTTAATACCTTCCTCCCATCTCTGAGCAGATTTACCACCTTGCTGATAAGATCCTGGTGAAGGCTCTTGCTGCCTCCACACGTTGAGACTGTGCTGCCGAGTCCTGCTCCACACAGGGCAGCCTGGCTGCATGTCTCTGCTCTTTGGAGAGCTTACAGCTCCTCATTAGTTTATTCCCAAGCATTAGTAATAAATCAGTAGTGCTGTTGTGTATTAATAGCTGGCTTTAGTTCTTAAACTGCATCCAAGGGCATAGCCTGGGAATCTGAAGAAAGGACATCAAGGAAAGATTAAGAAGGGAAAGGCTCTTGTTCCTAATTAAGGCCATGAAAATCCCAGGAAGTGGTGGGAATGCTGGGAACAGCCATCACTGCCTCTGATCATGGGAAACGTCCCAGTGCTCGGCAGCGGCAGGGCACAGGCTGACACCCACACCTGAGCCACGGAGGGGCCTACGTGGTTGTTCAAGATCACCTGGGACCTCCTGGGGAGAGCAGGGGGAGGAGCTGCAGGGAAGTTTGTGCATCCTCTGCAGCTGCCTCTGCACTCAACGCGTGGTCCCAGCGACGGGGGCAGTCGTGGTGTTCTGTGGGGTGTGGGTCCTGCAGGGAACTGCCTGGAGCGTGGCATGTACAGGCTTGTTTCTTTTGTGGTCTCAGGCTCTGTGGTCAAGCGTCCTGATGGAGGACAGCCTTTGAACAGAAATGATTTTGGATGGAGTCCAAGCTCCTACCCCACCTCTTTCACTCACAGAAAGAGGCCCTTGGTTTTCTTCTGGCTTGTAACTAGACCCAGCAGAATAGATGGGAGAATTAGCTCCCATGAGAATGTATTTTTCAAGAGTGCCCAGACTACTTAAGGGCTTTTGCAATAGGTATCTATTGAGCTCTGAATTCAGCTGTGCTCTCATTGTGATTTGTGGTGTTTGGTTGGTTTTCCCTTCCCTTGGAGCTAGTGCCCAGTTCTGTCCTGTGCCAGGACTGGCCGTGTGCAGCACTGCTTCAGTTTGTGCCCAGTTGACAGGGTGCCTTCCAGCTCGTGACGGGAAGGACACGGTGCTGACTGCTGCTTGGGAGCAGGCACTGGGGGTTCAGAGCAGGTGGGAGGACAGGGATGCTGTACAAACCTTTGTGGATGGCAGGTCTGCTGAAACAAGAACTTCCCAGCAGCTTTACCTGGCTTTGCAGGGAGGACTGAGGACTGAACTCCATGGGAGCTGTGTCAGTTCCAGCTGCCTGCTGGGCTGGACACACCAGGGCATCCAAGTACTCCGAAACATCCAGCTGGTCCCTTGCACTCAGCTCCGTTGCTGGCTGCTCACAGCCCTACTGTCCATGGCTCTCAGCTGGCTCATGGGCTAAAAGAGCTAAAGCCAAGGGGAATTTTGCCAGAGTATCCAAAGAGTTGGCCTGAACTAGGAGCCCTGCCAGAAATACACACAATAAATGTCCCTTAAATGCTAGTGTGTGGCTGTGTCTGCCCAGCACACGCCTCATGGTGTCGCCTTGTCTTCTCTTTCAGTCCGACATGCAGAGCTGGGAGGAGCAGAGCCAAGGAGCCATCTACACGGTGGAGTATGCCTGCAGGTACAGGGGCCTCCTCTGAGCAGGAGGGTTGTGTTCACAGGTAGAGGTGTAGTGGTAGAAACAAAGCAGGAAGCTGCCTGTGGTTCCCTGGTGTCTCCCTGGTGTAAGCTGAGAGAGCACAGTCAGGGTGAGGGTAAAAGCAGTGCCTGTAGGGACAGGCCAAGGGGAATGGCTTGAACCTGCCAGAGGGGAGACAGAAGCCTGGAGCCAGGCTGAGAGAGCTGGGCTGGGGCAGCCTGGAGAAGAGAAGGCTCCTGAAGGGGAGACCTTAGAGCAGCTCCAGTGCCTGAAGGGGCTGCAGGAAACCTGGAGAGGGGCTTTGGACAAGGGATGTAGGGACAGGCCAAGGGGAATGGCTTGAACCTGCCAGAGGGGAGACTGAGATGAGCTCTTAGGCAGAAGCTCTTCCCTGGGAGGGTGCTTGGAGCAAGCTGCTCGAGGGGAAGGTGTCCCTGCCCATGGCAGGGGTTGGAACTGGATGAGCTTTAAGGTCCCTTCAACCCAAACCAGGCTGGGATTCTATGATTCTATGAAGTTGAGGGTTTTATTGCCAGTCCTCTCTGTCAGTGTGTGCTCCAAACCCACAACGCCTTTGGAAATACTGACTGTCCTCCGTGTCGTCCCCGTCACCCCCCCCCCCCTTTGTCTTTCAGTGCCATAAAGAACATGACTGACAGCACTGTGTACTTCAAGAGCATTGACAGCCTGCTCAAACACGCCATAGCCATGAAGGAGCAGCTGAACGCTGCCCAGGGCCGCAGGTAACGAGGGGATGTGCCACTGCCCCTGCCCAAGTGACCACCCTGGCTGGCAGAGGCCTTGGTGACACAGTGCAGTGCAGATAGACCAAGAGGTTCTCTCAGTGACAGGATTCTAGGCTGTTATTTGAAAGAGCACACTGCTTGCTTTCCAGTGATCTCCTGGCCTTGTTCACTGGGAAGCAAATGATCCAGTTTATAAAAGGGTAACTAGAAAAGAATTTATTTCCTTATTTAAAAAGGGATGTTTGGTTGTGTAAAACATATTTTTGTTGTGTCAAAAGCGTTTGGAGTGAGATGATGCTATTGAGATGGGGTAGGTGTGAGGCTGTTCTCTGTCACATGTATGGTTCTTTTGGCCCAGAGTCCCACAGAGATAAGTGGTAGCAGAATGATGAGGCATTTCTGTATGGTTGCAGTTGAACAACAGCTACTAAAATATCTTGCAGCAGGTTGCCTGAGTCCAATGTATGTGTCTCTGCCTCCCTCCCTCCACCTTTTTGGAGTCTGGTGGGGTAGGAGTGAGATAATTCCCAAGTACCCACCCCTGAACAAACCCACCACAGTGAACAGAGCCTCTGTGTCTGCAGCACGACTTTGCTCAGACACCTCTGGTCCAGGTTCTGTATTTCCCTGCTGCCTGCTTGGCAGGGTCACGCTCTGCACAGCCCAGAGCGGTGCTGAGTGGGTTTGTGGTGGTGTGGCTGCAGATTGCTCACCACCCACAGGGGCCCGTGTGTGTTGCTCTGTAGTCTACACAGCGCTCTGAAAACCCTTCTTGTCTAAGCCACTCTCCTGCTGCAAGCAGGGAGGTTTTATCTGAGAGAGCCCCTGGTTCTTTGCGTCCCTATGGCTGCTGTGTCCTCCCTGCCTGCTGGATGTGACCTCTCTTTCTTTTCACAGCGCTGTTGCCCCACAAGTCAAGAATCCTCCAGCCAGTTCCTGATTCAAGACTGGCCATCCTCTGCTGCCTTCTCCAGCCCAGCTCCATGTTCTTCAACCACAGGGAGGAGGGAGAAACCACCTACTCAAGCTGTGAAGCTGCACCAAGGCCTCTGCCCCCTTCTGTTCCCAGTAACGAGTGCACCTGAGCAGGCAAACCCTGCTGCTTTGGGGAGTGCTTTTTGGGGCAGCTCTGTCCCTTTGCTCCGCAAGAGGGAAGCGGGGTGGTTCTGTGCTTGTCCTTTCCAGTTCCCTTCAATGGCAGACTGCTATGAGGCATTTTTCTCTCTACCTCTGAGCCACAGAGATATCTCTGCAAAACTAGGTCTTGCTTTCAGTGTTTTGTGGGTGGCTGTGGAACGATGTAATGCAGGCACGCTTTGGCTTTGTTCAGGAGGCATTCTGCAAGGAGAGGGTTTCATGAGTGTGCCAGGGAGCCACTGAATCGGGTTTCAGGGAGAACAATAATAAAAGAAAACACAAGAAAGTTCTGTCTAAAACCTCCCCCTGTTGCTTGCCTCGGGCTGAGGGCTCTTGGAGCTTGCTGGCTCGGCGTGTTTCAGAGGGCACAGAGCAAAACAAAGACATGCAGAGCTGGAGCCTTTCAAAGGAAAAAGGAACTGTCCTGTTCTTCATAAATCCAACAAGAAAAGGGCTGTCTCCATCCCCTGTCCTGCAGTGGGAAGCAGAGCCGGTGCACAGCTTTGGAGGGCACTTTACAGTGGATGCAACTTCAGCGTTCATCTCTCCTGGAATCAGTTCTGTTCTGCTGAAGAATTTCCCAAGGATGCAGGGATCAAAGCAGGGCTAAACTCAGTTCCCAAAGGAATTGTATTGTGTTCAGGGTAACGGGTGCCTGTCAGGATAATAGCAAGGGAGGGGAGAGGGAATCTCTGAATTGGTGGCCTCTTTTCCCTCCCTGAAATGCTTTACTAGCTGCTGAATGATAAGGAATTGAGGAAGAACCAGGTGTGCTGCTGCTGTGGGCCAGGGCAGGGCTGGTGTGAAGCTGTGAGGTGTTGGTCAGAGGGATAGATTGAGCTGAACCTGCTTGTGTTTCATGGCATCAGCACTGCCTTTAGTACCTGTGCTCTGCCCTGCACACAGCCTAGGAGCGGCAGCGCCAATGCAAACCCCTTGCAGAACCTCAGCTCTGAGAGCCTGCGCTGCTCTGGGGGCACCCAGGTAATTCTGAGGTGCCTCCACTGCTGAGCAAAGCGAGGGCTGCTCTAGCACAACCCTTTCCTTGTGGAGAGCTGTTGGTGGCCCTGCTCAGCAAGCTGTGCTCTGCTCAGAGAGCAGACATGCTGGTGACCAAGCAAGCAGGCTCTCTGCCACCCCAAACCCACCCTCTGCTGCTTGCAGCCTCCTCTGCTTCCATCTCACTTGCTCCTCAATCTTCCTTGTTTTCTTACCCCCTGCCTGGCTGCACCCCAGTGGGTGGTTGTATGATCTGCCTTGGTGTAGTGGTGGCTCCTGGGATGGGGGAGGAAGAAGGAAGGAGGCAGCAGAAGGCAGGGAGTGATGGACAGAGAACTCGGCTGGGATCTGCTGGAGAAGGAGAGTAGGTCTGCTTATGGACAAGGTCCACTTGCTTCTTCTCACCCACATATTTCTTTGCTGCAGTTACAGCTGAGGACTTTTGGCTTTGAGTGGAGGTGGTGTCTTCTCCATAAATCAAAGAGCATCAGGCAGTGGCTGCACAGACCCCCAAGCATGATGGTGGGAACACAGCCACCCCCTGCTCTGGTGTGGCAAGACCTACATTAAGCTCTAAATACAGATGCAAATCTTGGCCCTGGTGCCTGCAGGTCGTCTGGGAGGAGATGGGGGGAAAAGGTCCCACTTGCACTCACACCAGAGTCGAGTCCTTGCCCGAGGCTCCAGGTTTGCGAGACATCAGGTTCCTCATCTCCTGCGTGATGCTGTTCCAGGGCTTGCCCTGTGCCTGCAGCAGACCCGACTCTGCTGACAGCGTCCTGTGTGTTCGGGGCAGGTTGTAACTCTCCTTCTCGGAGCGGAGGCCGGGGCTGCCCGAGGAGGTGAGGTTGCTGCTGGCTGGGGAGCCCAGCTGGGATTTGCGCTCCAGGAAAGGAGGGAAGGAAAATTCCTGGTGGATCTCGGGCCGAGGCCGGGGCGCAGCCACGTTCTTGTTGTTGAGATCACTGGTGGAGGAGTCGCCGTGCTGGGCAGAGTCGTTCTCATACAGGGTGTGAGAGACCTCGGAGCGGCCGCGCCGGGAAACCTGGGAAGCCCGAACCAGGGCGTGTGTCACCGTGATGAGCAGCACAATGATGCCAGAGGAGAGGATGCAGGCGCTGGCGATGCCGGCCTCCAGCTCAAACAGCAGCAGCATGTAGATGGCGAGAGCTGGAAGGAGAGCGTGGAACATCTTGAGGAACAAGAAGGACTAAAAGGAAGCATTTGACTTGTAGAATTCAAGCTGAGGAACCCTGGTGAAGGCTGCTCACCAAGAACAGCAACCTCACACTACAGGGATGAGCTGGCAAAGCCATTTGCAAAACAGAGCCGGTGCTGAAGGAGAAACTCAGCAGCTCAGAAGCATTCAGAGAACAGGGGGTAAGGGGGGGACCAGCACTTGCCTGTCAGGTAGACGGAGACCCCGCAGCAGAAGAGGCCGATGGCAGCGTGGCGCACGGTGCGGCTGTCCAGGAGGAACCAGTCTGCCCTGCAAGAGAGGTGAGAGAACACGGTCCGTGTGCGCTCCTGGTCTCAGCACAGGAGGAGCACTGGTGCTCTGCGGGGAAGGCTGCCGAGAAACTGAAACGGGTTTTGCATAGAGAAGAGGTTCAGAGCCAGGTCACAAGGGTTGCACTGCTCTGGGCCAGGAGACATCACTGGACAGCTCAAGCTTTTCCTGCCTTGCTGCTGTGCTTCAGAGGCCCGATGGGCTCAGGGGCTTGGGAGAGACAAGTGGATGGAGGCTTTTTGCAGGTGATTTGCCCCCGTTCAGCCAACCCTGAAGATCAAGCAAGGAAGAAGCCCACCTCCCCCATAAAGAATGACAAGTGAAGTACTGGTACACTGACTTAAGCAAGGCCAGGTTCTCTCTTCACCCTTGGGATTGGATTTCTGTGCTCCGTTTCAATTGCAAGCCTTTTGTCTGGAAGGGGCTTGGTACTTGGACTGTGTTTAAAACACATGAAAAGTCCAGCTCCTTTCCAGCAGGGCCTTTATTTCCCACCTACCACCAGCCCCTGCCACCGACAGCTCTCCTCGGATGTCTTTGGAGCCAGATTGACCTGTCAAACCTCAGTCCTCCCTGGCTTTGGAGGCTGCTGTCACCAGAGGATGCCTCTGTTATCGGCAGCTGGGGGATGCAGTGCAGTGTGGCCAGGGGGGAGGTTGGCAGATGAGTGCCAGACAACTCAGGGGTGCCTGGAGAGATACTGGCAGGACTGCGATGCTTGGACACTGCAGTAGGAGAGGGCTGGAGCAGCTCTGCTCTGGAGCCAGGCTGAGAGAGCTGGGCTGGGTCAGCCTGGAGAAGAGAAGGCTCCTGAAGGGGAGACCTTAGAGCAGCTGCAGTGGCTAAAGGGGCTGCAGGAAACCTGGAGAGGGGCTTTGGACAAGGGCCTGTAGGGACAGGATAAAGGAAATGGCTTTAACCTGCCAGAGGGGAGACTGAGATGAGCTCTTAGGCAGAAGCTCTTCCCTGTGAGGGTGCTGAGGCGCTGGCACAGGGTGCCCAGAGAAGCTGTGGCTGCCCCATCCCTGGCAGTGTTCAAGGCCAGGTTGGACACAGGGGCTTGGAGCAAGCTGCTCTAGGGGAAGGTGTCCCTGCCTGTGGCAGGGATTGGAACTGGATGAGCTTTAAAGCCCCTTCAACCCAAACCAGGCTGGGATTCTATTAAACAGTCCCTTGAAACAACTGACCATGTCCAGGAATCCCAGGGAGCTGTAGGAAAACGTGCCCTGGCTTGGCAGGACCAGCTGAAGGGGCAGCAGCAGCGGCACAACCTTCCTGGTGCTGCAGGACCAGCTCTTGTGTTGCCCCCCTGCAGCATCCAGCTCCTTCCATCCCACGGTGGAACTTGGGCAGCGGAGGCTGCGGTGCCCTGGCTGTGCCCCCCCCCACCCCAGCATGGCCTGGCCCCTTCCCCTCCTCCTGGGCTTGTTGCAGCCCCTCGGCCACTGCCACCTGCGCAGGGACCCCCAGGCAGGGGCCATTGGCAGCCCCTGGACCCGCTCCCGCTCCCCAGGGAAGAGCAGCCGCTTGGGTTCATTAATTACCTGCGGTGGGGGGGACCGGGGGGAGGACTTTGTGTGGAGCTGGCGCGGGCCATTGAGCGCAGCGCTGAGCCGTGGAGCGGTAATTCAGTGTGACAGCCCCGACGTGGGAAAGGTCCCTGGGACGTGAGCGGGTCCCCTAATGAAAGGAGGCCACGAGGAGACGGCAGCAACCGGCATCGCGCTGCCTGGGCCACCGCATCTCTGTGTCCCGAAGTCCTGCCTTTTCCCTCCCAGACACGAGGGTAACCCTCAGTGTGCAGCTGGGGAAACTGAGGCACGGCCACATTGAAGTGATCAGCTTCAGATCCGCTACAGAGGGACACCGATCCGGGGCTCCCAGTGCCTTGTGTCGCCTGCGGCAAAGCCCAGAGCAGCTTCTGAGCGCAGAAACAGTTTAAAAGCAGGTTGGTTGGGAAGAGCTCTCCTGCTCCGTGAGACGCCAGCAGGTTCTGCAGCCCTGCAATGGTTGCTCTGTCCCTTAAATCCTTGAAGGAGTCACTGCTGTTGGAGCCTGGGCTGTCTTCTACCTGTGACTTTGCATCTGGCTGCCTGATAAGTGCTGCTGGTTCGCACTCGGGGTCATCCAAGCTGACCCTCCCAACCTCGAAATGGAGCATTTCCCAGCACAGGTCAACACAGAGCTCAGGCAGACTCACAGCGCAGGGGGAGTTCTCTGCTGTGCCCCTTTGCCAGCAGTGACCCAGCTCCCAGAGCAGAGTTGGCTGCAGGGACTTTGTGTTTTGCAGAAATATTTTGCTCCCCTTCCTTAATGAGCCAGCTTCACTTGGAAGATGCTGAGAGGAGATGCTGGAGTGCCTCCAGCCCCGGTGCTCCATGCAGGGCATTGACGGGTTTCTCTAATTAGGGACAAAAGGAACTGTTGAGACCTTATCAGTTCCTTTAAATGAGTTTTGTCTTGCTTAGGTCAGAGCGGGCCCAAAGTGGTCCTGTGGGGACCAGTTTCCACCAAGATGCTTTTAAATCTGATTATTCACAAGTTGGTTTTATCTTTTAACCCAGGAGTGGAGCCAGTGCTGGACAGAGGAGCCACCAACCCTCCCCACCAAGGAAGGGGAGAGGAATTGCTTTGGAAATGGTTTTGTAGGTGTAAATGTGCTGGTAATGATTAAGTCAACACATGTCTATGGTTAATGATCCCAGGCCTGGGGTCATTTTGGTGCTGTGTGAGTGGCCTGGGCAGTCACCCCAGCAGAGCCCACTGCA